TTAGACCTTAAGATGTAGCCCCAAAGTGGCACAGCCCTCAGGCCCGCCCACCTCGTTGACTACCCTAAATATAGTAAGCAAAGAGATGGCTTCTTTCAAGAGAAAAATAAAACACGTACAATGTGGCACTTTCATCAGTTTTATGGCCTACATTTTCTGCAAGTTTTTGGGCCGCATTGGTGGTTATCTTTCTTCATGGCCTCATTTTCTTATTCACGTTGCATTTTGTTCTTTCAATGCTCTTGGTTATTTGTTTAGGTCCAGCCGATGGCTGAAATATGTTGCTTTTATTGGAGGAAAAGTATATAATAAGGCCATTTACGTTTGTTACTAGTATGTCACAATTACTTTTTACCGTTGGATGTTAAATTGGGCAGTTGCGTTTGTTCCAATGACGATGCTCAAAGTTCAAACAAAAACTTTCAAACAATGTGGCATAGCCAAGCCGTCAGATTTTATTTCAGATGGTCATAAATAAGGGATTGTCTATAAAGAGATCACTTATCTTTTGTACATGAAAATCACAATCATTCTCACTCATTAGATATCAAATTTGAAGTCCAATAATATTTTTTAGAGCTAGGTAGGTAAAGTGAAGGTGTGCAACTGAAGTTTTATGTAATCACCGCATACCAATGAAGCTGAAGGGCAAGTTCTATAGGACAGCGGTAAGACCACAGCTGTGCTCTATGAAGCGGAATATTAGGCGGACAAAAAACAATATATCCATAGAATAAGTATAGAGGGTATGAGGATGTTGTAATGGATGAGTGGCAAGACAAAAAGGGAGAGAATTCGCAATGAATCCATTCGTGAGAATTTAAGCGTGATTCCAATAGGCGATAAAATGAAAGAGAGTAGACTTAAGTAGGCTGGCCATGCGTGGTGTCGACCAAGTAGGAGGTGCGTATTAGTTCAAGTATAAAAACTGAAAAAGGCAAGAGATAGGCCCAAAATTACATGATTGGAAGTAGTCCGAAAATATATGAGGACTTATGACTTCACTAAGAATATCTTTAATATAGCAAAATGGAAACCATGATTCATGTAGCCAATTCCAATTAATTGGAAAAAGACTAAAATGATAATTATGATGATTTATTCAATAACACTCTTAGAACCATTTTGAAATTTAAGAGACAAGAATAATTGTGAGATCTATATACAAAAGATGAATCATCTCTTTGTAGACGATCTTTACACACAATTGTCACCGCCTTATGTCAAAGGTAAATAGCCTCATATTATTTGATATTTTTTATAAAAAAGAAGGCTAAGTATTATTCTATATTTTTATTAAAACAAACTCTACCTTCTCTATTTTCATTAAAACCCCGCAACTTCTCATTTCCTTTATATATTTGGTGCTGTTAAAATTCTCTGAATAACCATGGCAATCACAAGTTGCTCTTAATTCATAGAAACCTCGATCTTAGAAAGTTCAAAAATGAGGATCGTTCATTTTAGGTCTAAAAACTTGAGATACTTCTTGAAACAAGAGATGTACCCAATGGGCCCTTCTCTCAAAGCCCAAACACATGCCTATGTGTTGAGTGGACTGTCCATGGACCTTTCCGTAGGAGTCCAAACCCAATCCAACATGATCCTAGGGCCCAAAGCCCAATGGGCCCATTGGCTACCTTGGCCCACTAGCACATTTACATCCCTTTGAACCCTTGGAATATTCACTTTGGAGATTGCTATTGCACTGATGCTGTTCATTCTTTAGTTAAAACACGATTTTTTTTTCAAAAAAAATATGATTTTTTAAAATATGTTAAAAATTAAAAATTATGAGTTCTTCAAAGGATTTCAAGATACAGATATAAACCCGTATTTTATCCTTTCTCAAAAAAAAAAACTTTTCAAAAAAACTTCTTCCCTTATGACTTTATCTTTTCACTAATTTAATATCTTTGAATTTTGATTTAGAAATAAGCACGTTAATAGTGGGACTAAATTAAGAATCTTGATTTAAAAAAAAGTTCTATAAAATTTCACCAATATGTTCCTTTAAAAAAAATGCATTATATTATCTAAAAAATAATCCATCAAAACAACTTTTGATTTCTAAAAAATGCATTATATTATACAAATATAATGCATTATATTTATAAAAAAATGCATTATAAATGTTGTACAAGAATAATTTGACTGTAACGGCCTTATTAACCACTTCAATTACACCTCTTTGGCTTGGGATTTTAACTCTTCTTCATCAAAAGATGAAACTTTTGGAAAATCAAAGCTTTCATAATCTTCTTTTAGAATTTAGATTTCAAAAGGAATCATGTTATCGGTTTCCACCAAACATTGGTACTTCTCATTAAAAGAGTTTTAAGTAATGGAGGAAGTTTCTAGAAGGCTTAGGCTTTTAGAATTTAGATTTCAAAAGGAATCATGTTATCGGTTTCCACTTTCTCATTAAAAGTGTTTTAAGTAATGGACGAAGTTTCTAGAAGGCTTAGGCTTTTGGCTTTACGAAAACAAAATAAAATCTCACCTCAAAAAGTACTTTCAGCACCAAAATTTTTTATGATGGCTCTAAAATCAATTTTCAATACTGACGATAAAATTTGAAACTCAAAAAAAGATGGTCTAGATAATTTGTTACAATATACAATGTTTTCATAGCTTGAAATTTTAATTCTTTTCACAATCATAATGTTCAAGCATGGATGATCAATGTAAAGGTTTTTCAATGCTTGAATTTCAATTTTTGATGAGTTATGAAGTGAGAGTTCACTTTTCCTGATGGAACTATAGCCCTGTCGAACCATTTTCCATAATTTATTTCAATTTCTTCGTGATCCCAAAAAGCAAGTCTATAACTCAACTTTCTGCCGTATATGAAGTCCTTTTGACTGCACCAAATCCCACCATACTTAGCTGTTTTGTAGAAAAGTTGAGGGGTCATGTGCTGACGCAAAGAAAAAGATTTGACCTTTAAGGCTAGTCACCAAAGAATCGGACCGGGGTGAAAAAGTAAAAGAGAGTGAGAGAACTCACACCTGGAATGATTTGAACTTTGGCCACCACCCTGCCAGTCCAAAACCCAGGTTAAAGAAAAAGTTTGCGTTAAGTAAGTAGCAAATATGAAACTTTGCAACAACTTTCCATAAATCCTAAATTTATATTATTTGCTCATGCTAAGTTCTTCCCAGTAAGGGACACACTTTCTTAATAAAGCAAAACCACGAAATTGAATCTATATAGCCAACCCCAAATTGGGATAAGTTCTCTTATGATAATGATGATTTGGCAACTTTCATAAGAGAAGCATAATAGGAGTAAATAAATTTTGGAAGAAGAAGAAACCGACGCATTTGGTTTGGAAGGGAAAAAGATAACACCGGGAGAATACAAAGGGCAGTTGTGGCATTTGTTTGTATCTAGTTTTTTGTAAAAATTATGGGGAGGGGGCAAATATGGCCGGAACCAGGTTGGGTCAACACCTGGACCCAATGGAGTCTAGGGTGACCAGAACCCAATTGGATCTAGGTCAACCAACCGAACGGGTTCGGTCAGCTCTGAGGTCAAAATCTATCTCCCGGACTAGGTTGGATCGGCAGAATTGTACCATAAACTCTATATCCTTTTGTAAGGATCTTACTAATGAAAAAAAAAAGATAGGGGCTCAAATCCCCGACTTACCCAAAAAAAAAAAACAAAAGGTCGTGTTGGAATTTCCAAACAACCTGCCCACTTACCACCAAAACTGACTACCAATGGCCAAAATGGAAAAGCTTACCAGTGTCCCTCACTACAGCTCGGAAAACAAGATGGCGATTCATCACAAGCAACAGCGATCGCGAAGGAAGATGGTCCTACCGTGCAAATCTATATCTGTCTCAATTCGCTATGGCTATACATACTTCCACAAGCATGGCTTCAAATGAGAACACAGGACAATAGATCATGTCCATGATGTTGGAACTAGAAAGCAACAGTTTAGATACACAATGAAAAGAATATATGCATTCATCCCGCGTGTTTTTTGCAGTTAACAGCAAACCATGCTTTTTATTTGGACCTGGAAGAGACGGACCGAGCCCAACCACACCGGAAACATTTACAATTTCACACCCATTCCTAACCTCGAAACCATTCTTCAACACATAAATAAACAGAAGAGGGAAAACTGTGCAATTGATACAGGGGTAGTGCTCGTCACCTGGCTGCCTTCTAAATTACAAAGGAAAAATTGATCGAGGGCTATGAGCTCCCATGTGACCTAACAGATGACATGGACTGTGCCGAAATGGAAGCAGTTGGACTGTTAAGATCTCGCTCCCCTCCATTAATGGCTTTAACTTTCCCAGTGATCTTCACAATGGCATCTTGAGCAACTTCAACGAACCAGTCATCTTCATATAGCACACTGCAAACAAAAACAGAAATATAATTTGAGAACAGCAAGGTAAATTGCATGTTTGAATGAAAATCCCCACCTTGAGAATTTAAAAACTATTACTCTAGAAAAATATAAATAAATCTAATTAGCATGATCTACTTTTGGTGTGAAAGCACTTGTTAAAGAGAGACATTTTCTTGACAAAGCAAATCTAAGGAAGGATGGCACTGCAGATACCAACCGGTACAACTCAGGTAAGAGTTTTGAGTGAAATTAATATTCACCAAGGATTGATCATAGCTCTTTTCAAGAGCGAAAATAATTATCTATCAATAAAAGAAAAGATGGAACAACCACCTTACCAAATATAATTCAACAAGATAACTTCATGTACAGATGATTAAATTTCAGAAAATAGAATATCAGAAGTTTGATTTGTTCTTTGGAGGAAGGGTAACGCAGTATCATCAAGGGTCTAAGAAGAAATTGACTTCTTGACCTACTTAATGCTCCCTTTAAAGTCAGATATTACTGAAGCGACCCACATGGTCCATATCCTTGGTCGCATGCATTAATCCAGAACAACATCGACACAATTCCAAGCAACTATACAAAGACAAGCATATTTCGACAGCAAAGGGGATAGTCCCAAGAAATCATCAGCTTGGGAGGTAAAGACTCCAGTTCCATATGGAATATTGGGTTGATACTCTCCATAAGTGAATGCATTTACACTATATCTAAGTGGCCCTGAGAACTGCAGCCATTCTTTTCTTCTTGTTTTTAATGTTCTTTAATGTTCAACACAAAAAAAAAAATGCTTGAGAATGGGAGTTAAAAATTTAATCTCTTTAAGATAAGTCAATTGATGGAATAGGAATATGCAACCTTGTTGGTTTGGGCCACAACGTCTACCCAACAAAATTTCAGAAGTTAGTCATCATGAAAAGCATATATAAAATCATATAATATGTTTCTTTATTATGAGTATTATTTTTTATACACAGTTTTTTACACAGATGGATTGCTGATCGGGATGGGGATCACTGGGCAGGCAATCCACACCACATATCTGTTCTTCAAAACAATGGTGCATTGGAAAGTGGAAATTTCAAGTTACCTATCAAGTTACAGTATGAGTGCATGCAGAAATAAACATCGAAATAAACCATTGGAAAGTGGAAAGATTGCAAAACTTATTTTCCAACTCAAGAGATGAAAGTGAGGAAAAAGCAAATGGCTTTAAAATTTCTAGGCAGGCCAATCAGAAAGAGTAAAGTAATGAGCCACCTGTATGGATCCACTCCACTTGATGAAAAGGCAGTGAGAGCCCTAGAAATAATGTCCTTGATGACTTGATGCAGATGCCGAGATAAGTAACGGCCTTGTGATGAAAATTGAATGACAAACTCCATATCCAATAAAAACTGCATGTGTAAACATCCAGGTCATGATTAACATTTCTTGCACCAAATGAAACATAGCACAAGCCAAAGAAAACAACTTTTGCATACCTGTGTTAGTCCAGCAGTTCCCAAAGGTTTAGGACCATCCTCAATATCATCCCAGAAACTCTGGTCGTCCGAGAGCCAAAGGATAACTGTTTCTGTAAGTCTCATCAAAAGGATGGTTGCAAACCTTTCTCTGCCAACAAACATGTCGGCAGCAATGCCTGCAATTCTGTGCAGCTTTAAGAAAAGTTCCTGCAAAGAAATTGCAATTAGCTGTGAGAATCTATGTCACAATGATGCATGTCAGGTGCGTTTTGGCTCATTGAACATGTGAAGCACAAAAAGGGGGAAGAACAACCAAAACTCTAAGAATATTCAAGTTCAATTGTTGGAATTCTTCAACAAAAGCCATCAACATGAGGCTGGTATAGGAGGGATATTCATAAATGTGTCAGGCAGAATATTTGAAGGCAATTTATTTTGTTTGGGAGGGGAGGAGGGGGGGGGTGGTTGGGGTTTGGGTTTGTTTATTTTGAGATTTTGCATAAGCCTCTGTCTCATTCATACCTAGGTAAGCATGGTTTGAAGGCAGGACAATTTAAAGGTTGGAACCCCATAAGTTTCACATACCATGTGCCACATCACTGGATGACGGGTCACAGAACCTAATTTCGCCACAACTAAACAGTTTCAAGGAACTAATGAATCATCTCACCAAGTCAAGCAAATTGCTAAATGCTAAAGGCTTTTCTAATTATGCCAGAGAGCTGATAGTACTTCTCCTTCATCCAATTGTGACAGTGTTACAAGGACACATATGTATGTATGTGTGTGTGTGTGTATGGAAAATTAAAATTGAAAATATGAAATGAAAATGATTTTGTTGCAGAAAAACTAATATTTGCAAACTTTATTTTTTGTCAAAATAATATTTATTTTGTGTTTTGACACATGAATGATACGATTTTGCAATTATTGTTCACATTGTCACATTAGTAGGAAGGTAGAATGATATGCCTCTTGATAGGTTGTCAATTCCGATCACACATGACACAACCGACATAGCTTTCAAAAAACAAATTTCCAAGTATATATAAATTGTATAGAATTTAAAAAGTATGCTAAAATTTCAGAGATAAATATGACATGACAATGATTATGTTGCAAACAACAATTAGTTTTAGTTTTATTTATTTTTCTTTATTTACAAACCTATTTTGACATATATAACGAATATAATTTTCCAACATTGTACACATTGTCTCATGGAGCAGAGTTCAGCTCCTTGCCTCTCCAAAATAGCTTGTGGGTTCAAATCCCACAATCAATATCACACTTTAAATAACACAAACAAAGAAGACACTTTGTGTCTGATTCTCAAAACACTTCTGACATGGAATGTCAAATGCCTTGTTAAAGCCCCAACACGAACACATACAGATGGAGTGCCGGCCAGTGTCACAAAGTGTTGACGTGTGACACCTGCCAACTAAAGGGTGTTCAGGTGACACTGATTGTGACCATTATTGCTCTTGCTTTCGACCCTAGAATCAATTTGCATACTTTGATCACCCCTTATCTTAATGCTGGAAATCCTTCTCTATATGAGTTGTCATACGAAGTTCTTGAACATGACTTCAATATGTGAGAGATGTAAGTACCGTGAGCTGTGAAGCGATCCAATAATAATGAATGATTCAAGGAATGGTCGGTGACAACTGCTTTCTTCGAATAAGGTAACTACTTAGATACAAAAGTTACTTAGTTAAGCCTCGATAGGAAGAATCTTGATGGGCATATAGGTTGTATACAAGCCCAAACTTGGTCGAGCCAATCATATGCATGACTGGTAAAGCCATTAACCAAGTGGACCAGTGCAAACGTCAAGATGAGTCACTAATCGTTCAGGTGCCCACTACAAATGAAACTCATCAAGTACAATATTTAAATCAAGTCACTGATGTCCTTCTATTAAGGAAACTTAGGAATTTCATAAATGTCATGTGGGTTGCTAATACTTCTTTGTGCAAAGCAATAGCAAACAACGAGGGACGAGAAATAGCCATTCATCAGATTCCTATCCTCAGGACTATGAAGTATGGAATCAGTTTTCCGCATAGAGAAAGCAACATTAGATTATAGAATTAACAAGACTAAAGCACACAACTTTTCCTTCCACCCAACTTTTCCTTCAAGCCATTTTTTTTAATAAATGAAAGATCAATTATTCTATATGCAAAAGAGGCACTTTTATCACTATGCCCAGATGTTATCATTTAAAAATGCAACATTATGGATGTGCAATTTTTGTCTGAATGGAGTTAATCATGGTGTAATCATGGGCACATCTTGTCCTAAACACATCTGACAAAACAAGGGTTCTCTTCATTGGGTGATCCCTAACATCCATAATAGCAAATTGTATAAGAATATAATCACTAAGAGGGCAAGAGCTTCGGACATTGCTCCCCAATCAAGAGGCAACTATCACAGAAGTTTGCAAATCAAAGTTGTCATCGATCCCTAATTTCTATAGTTCGACAAAAAGCAAATGTAATCCCGAGTTCCATTCAGTTGAATCTTATCAGTGCAAACTAGAATTCATTAGATCAAAGGGACAACTATGGATTGTCAATAGCATCCAAAAATATTGTAATAAATAATTGTTGCATCGAAATGAAACATATATCCTAAGACGTTTTGCAGAGAGAAGGACAGGCATATCCTTCTCTAGAATGCTAAAAAGAATTTCCTTCCTCCCTTCCTCTGCAATGGTGGTGGCAGCCACAAGCTGCAAGAAAGAGACGTGAGCTTTAAGGCAGAAAGATCGCCATCACCCATTCACAATGAAGACATGCACCTGTGCATCAGAGAGATTATTCTATGTGAAAACTTTCTGGGGAAAATGGGGAAAATCGCCTTTGTCAAACAATATTCAAAACCATAGATATTTCATTTTGAATATCTTAAAAATGGTGGCACTCCAATATGAATATTTTAAGAGTTGAAATCAATAAGCTTTTTCAACCTCTAATATAGGTTCCGTATGGTTCCGATTGCCTATGAGCAAACGCTGGTGAGCCGTAATTTATCATTCTTCAATTGGGGGAAATATTAATGATGGAATATTGTACACAATACAGAAATATTAACAGAATCAGGTATGGCAATTAACTGATTGCCATTTTCTGCGGAGTTACTAAGCACACTCAAATCAACATACTGAAACTTTGATTAGGTCTTTTTTTACATGACCAAAACGAAATGCAAAAGGAGTATCATGAAAACTGCACATCTGCACCTAATATTTCTCACAGTGAATTGCATGGGAGAAATTCCAACAAAAGCGAATCCAAAATAGATAACCAAAAAAAACCTAAATGAGCAATTTGCAGAGATATACCTGAAATATTGGTGATGGAAACCAATCAGTATCTTCAATGTTTCCAGCCAAACTCATGTACATTTCTGCACTCAAATGTGTATCACCATCTTCTGTAAAAATAAGATCAAGGGCATGTTGCCTACAAAAGTTATCTCTCAATCTATCTACTGAACGTTGGAGGCGTCTTCTCCACTCTCTTTGTTCAGGGAGACGATTCTGCCTTTCTGAAGCTTTCTTCCGATTATCTTCCTTACCACCAGCCTGATAAGATGAAGCAAGTTTCAAAGCAGCACGTGGGAGAAGTTCATCTGCTAACAAGGATGCATTTGCTAGCAAAGCTATTTGTTGCGCTTCAGTCTCAGCCATCCTAACAATTTTGTTCCCAGAATCTATCTCACCATCTTCCTCCATTGTACCGGGTAAAGCATTTATTAGCAAGTTCACATATGAGTTGAATACTTGAGCAAGACCATCCAATGTTTGACCACCCAGCTGCATACTTAAGAGGGGTCCTACGTCCTCAAAGAAATCCTGTGGAAGTACCAATATTATGAGAGGCAGCAGGGCATAAAAGAACCAATGTAAAGCCAATACAGAACTTATTGCATATATTAGCCATCCAAAAACACAAAAGCATGAGCGCACAAGCAAATATTCACACGCATATGTGTGTGTGAGTAACGTGGCAAGCTTTGCATCCTCATACAGTTATCACATTTTTAAAAACTCCAATAATGTAAGGAATTACAACCTCAGCTTAAAACTTTAACATGGATCATGGACAGATGGTTGTTTTATCCACACAGCATAAAGGTTTGAAGCTATTACATCCATACCATACTTGGCAATAAATATAAAAACATGCATGATGTTTACAACTTTACCTTGTTAATATAAACATAATGCAATGGGGATTTCAAACTAGTATAACCTTGAGCACCTTAATATCCTCATTGTTCACTGCCTAGGATTGTAAGGGCTGGAATCAGAAGCCCAGTTGCGCTCAAATCCTTGCCATCTCTTGCTATGTTGTGCTTACTAATCAAGCAACAAGCAAGAGATTCTACCTTATAACCTAGTGGTATAGATCACCTTGCCTTGATCCCTAGGATGAAGGTATATCTCATGTATCTAACAACAACATCATCATCATCATCATCATCCAAGCCTCATCCCAACTATTTGAGGTCAGCTATACGAATCCTGATCTGTAGTTCCGCTTTATCAAGGCCTTTACCCTCAAACGTCCCATAAGTCACCATATCTCTTCGCACTACTTTCATCCATGTCTTTTTCAGACCTTCCCTTGCTTAGAGCCTTCCACTTGAACCAAATCGTCCCTCTTAACTGGTGTTGTTCTAGGTCGAAAGAGTTCGTTCCACTCGAAGGCTTAAAGAGATTAATTCCATATTGTGGTAGACACCAAGTAGCAAATCCAAGTTTGGCCAATAACCTTGGAGAGTTCCAAAAAAAACTCCAATAACATTCGAATCTTCTACCGGCATATCTGACTGAGACCATCACAATGGCTGGAGCTTGCTAGAGCAGGTGCCACGAAGGGGACCACATGCTAGCTACGTTTTTGTCCATATCTCCACTGACCTTTTTGTTCGTACCATCATTGGCTGCTTTTTGTCCACAAATAGACCTGGAGGCCAAGTCCCTCGATTTTGTGATGATGTGGGTCCCATTACCCTAACATTTTTCTGTTCATTTCATTTGTTATAACTCCATGTAGAGCACCCGACTTGTGGGATGACTTTCATGCACCCCATTTCTCATGGGAATTTTTTGTAAGCACAAACAATATAAATTAAGATTCATGTTGACTTGTTCCAACAAAAAAAATGATTATTTTGGGTAAGAACACCGATGGCTAACAAATAACATGAAACAATTAAAAAGATTAATTCCTTGTCCAAATTGGTATTGATATGAATCGCAATATGGCAAATATCAACCACTCACCTGAACCATCGAGTTGAACCGATGGGCACTGCTTGAAAGCCTAGGCTGGAATGCAACCCCAGTGCTCAAAGCATTGGAGGATCGACTAAATGGACGAGTACCCCCTGGTGAATGAGTAAGTTCCCAATCATCTGCAGCTGCCAAAGCTGCCGTGCTTTCTTCTATTCGCTTCAAATTAGCATTCAATGCTTGCTCGACACTAGGTCTAAAGAGTTTCAAGAGCACAGGACACAGTGCCAACCCTCGAGATTCAAGAAGAGAACAGTGCCCTAATGCAATCTGGACACACTCCGCAGCAGCTCTCAGGCCTCCAGCTGCTGCTGAGGAGGCTAGGGCATGCCTCTTTACTAGAAGAGCGTAAGCCTCAGTTTCTTTGGAAGCCCAAACAACAAGTTCAGATGCATAGGCTGATTCCTCTCCAAAGACTGCCAATGAATCACTTGCTGCTTGTGCGATTGCAGAGAATACGAGTTGTGATAAAGCAGCAGTATATGCTCCCCCATATGAAGTGCTTGAAGGGCGAAGGCTTTGCATGTTGTACTGAAACCTCTGGTGATGCGCATTTAGGAGTAGCGTATGCGCACGAGGACCATCGCCGAGCTTTTTTAGGGCTAAAACTGCAGAGCGAAGCTCAGCCCCACGAGTAGAGGGTTGGCATGCAGTTTCAGCTAGTTGATCAGCTAGCCTACGTTGGCAATCAGATATGGCACTCTGTAAAGAGGAAAGAACAGATGACCTCAATGTTCCCTTCTTTTCAGCTTCTGCAACTATATGCTCGCCTTCATCGAGAGCAACCAGAGCCTCATCGACTCTCCTTTCAGCTAATAGAACATCTAGGATATCAGGAAACTCAATAGACCATTTCTCGACGTCAGAAGGCTCCTTATCAACAATGCTTGATGGATCATGATTTGTGGAACTATCATGATCAGTGGATAATGAGTCAACATTAACACCTTCAGCTAAGCCATGAATAAGTGCTGCTTGAGTAGAAAGCAGGTTCCTAATAGACAGCAGTTCGCCCTCTAAATCTGATATCTCCTTGGAAGTGCTGAAAATACATTCCAAAGAAACCACGTTAGCGAAGGTTTCAGAAAAACGTCATCCTTAAAATATTACAACTGTGTAATCCAGAAAATAGCATACTAGGTATGAGTAAAAGAGTAAAACAAAAGGCACTAAGCAATGGACAGACCATAATGAACTAATTGATGAGCACAGTAAAGTTCAAGTTTTGAGACACTAATAACAAACATAATAAAAAATAAATATAAATAAAAAAATAAAAATAAAACAGATGTTTCTTTCTAAAGATAATGAACTAAAAATATTACAGAGCCAAAAAAAAACACTATATTAAGGTCTATCTACAGAACAGAAAATTGAAGCATCTTACAATGCAAGAAACTGATAGAAATCATTGAGGATTCAACCTTCCTTACAAACTATGCTTTGTAAGGCATATAATCATGCAGATAAGCAACCAACAAACGCACATCTATGAAATACACCGAAATTATCAAAGAGTTAAAATAACGACATTTGCAATCCCGTTCTCATGATGAGGTGTTTTCCATCTTGTTCTTCACAAATCCATCTTTTTCTCACCAGACCAGGTTTCTATTTCCACCTTCTAGATGAAGAACTTTCTACTACTTGTTTCTCGATGGAAGAACAGTTAAAATTTCAGACTGGATTGTTTATCTCTTTCTATAATGTTAATGTTGGGACAGTGATACAAAAGAAAGCACTCCTCTGAAATTTTGAATTCTTTGAATGCAGTTATGTCATAAGAGATAATACTCCAACTAAGAATAAAACAACGTTCATGACAAACATTAGTAGTAAAAGAGAATTATTATGTAAAAGAGATCCAAACAAGCTTTTTTTTTTTGGGTAAGTATCCAAATAAGCTTTCTGATAAAATGAGAGCATGTTCTTATCCAAAGTACATTTTCAGAACAATCCCAAAAAGGAAAGAGGAAAAATATTTAATTATGGGAAACATATAATTAATTCAACATGCAAACAGAACAGATTGATTAAATCAAGTCCTCCCAATTCACATTATTTTCTTCCTTTCTAACCAAGTTAACAAGCAGTCACCCGTAGTATGAATTAATTCATGTTGAATTGAGAGATTTAAGTATATAACATGCCCCACGGATTACCATTGTTGGGCACAGAATGGAGATCAAGGCAATTAAATGATGAGCCTCTGAATCAAACTTGGAATCAAATTTTGCTACACAAAGTTTTCATTGACATCTGTCTATCTTAAACAGCCAAGAAATCTCAAGTTCAAAAACAAAAAACAGCCAAGAAATCTTGCTCAGATGGTCATCAAGCAACCTGTCCACTATGGAACTAGAAGCATTAAGGAAGCAACAACTTTCCTGGCTTGCCAAGTGACCATGAAATTCTCATGTAATGGTTTGATGTCATCAGAATAAAAAAATAGGATGCATGTATTTAAAAGAAATAGGAAAGTAGAATAGTCATTTGTCCCATTATCTCAAAAACTTTTAGTTTTAGGTGATTACAGGCATTTGTCCCATTATCTCAAAAACTTTTAGTTTTAGGTGATTACAGAGAGCATTCTTGTCATCAGACGTACATAGAAGACAAGGAATGCAGATCTGCTCATGGCAGAATTCACAAAATTAAAATACCACTATGGTCTCCATGTATACTAATGTAGCAGTCCTTTGGTAACGTAAACCGCCATCATTCACTTCAGTAGATTTCTAATTTCATGTATATCAAAGGCAACAACGAAAGCAGTTCTAATCTCCCCTGATTCCAAATGATAGAATCAAATTATTGCAAGTTACTCTAAGAAATAAGCAACCTATGATAAAGAAATGAATAGCTTACCAAAAAAAAAAGAGAAGACATGAATAGCACAACTTGCATGCTTAGGTAGGTACACACAGCAATATCATTACGATTCATCATCTATCCAAATTACCATCCAAATTACTGGAAGCCATCATAAAAATAATAAGTTATCCAAGTATCATAACAATAATCTAACCGCATAACAATGAACATAATGTTCAGAAATGCTATTCACTTGGACAAGATGAAATATACCACTCTTTGGCCTCAAAAGCGCTTAGTGGAGAAGTGCACCTACCGAATGAAGGCCGCATAATTAGCATATACACTTTTGCGCATTTCTTCTGCAGATGCCTTCTTTAAGTGTAAAAGGTGTGAACATAGCTGCCTTATTTCCTGTCAATAAATGCATGATTTTGTTATAGCATCTAAAACTACTACAACCTAAACGTCGTATCAACTGCTTTCCCCTTAGGTGAATTTTATAAGTAAATAAACCTGAAGTTGAACAACAGATAAGTATACACAAAAATGTAAATGACAACCCAAATACCACATAATTTTGGTCACTCAACAAGTCAACCAACACAGGGCTTAACATGGATCCATAATGAACTTGTGCTTTGCATACAAAAAATTTATTTCATGTCACACCAGAAACTTTTCACAGACGCAACGATGTAAAAACAGAGATCACATAGAAGATATGCTTATAACTTATCAATGTTAGAGAATGAGAGACAGGGAGTGCTGAATAGAAATGTGTGGTAAAATCCATTTCCATTAGATGCCTTTGCAATGTTGTATCGTCTCCTACATAGCCAGATATATATAGGTGTGGCTAGAGTTGATCAGATGCAAGAAGCTTGCATCTTCCACATTACCAAAGATCAGAGAGAGGAAAGCTTCACAACTCCTTTATGGCAAGAGGACGAGTACAGATGGATCAAGCAAGAAATTAAGTGGGCAAATCCATTTGTAGAAGGTGCATTTGCTTCATTGCACAACCTTCAAGGAGGCATCCCTAATCTAAATGATGTAATATCTACTATAATGCATCATGGTTCTCCTCTTGCCCTTGAACAGTTTATCGACCATGCCAACAAGGCATTTTAGGTGGCTATGCTTCTTTCTTAAGAATGATATTGCCGGCATGCTTCTTTCTTAAAGAAATGCATAGTTTACATGCCTATATGCTTCTTTCTAGGTATGTATCCATAGGATAAATTGTCGATTGCAATTGCTGTTACCAGCATGGCAGCATCACAAATTGACCATTGCAGTTTTCCTATTTACAAGTGTTCTTTATTCTTATCCAACCATTAACATTTTCCATTTACAGAAGTCACTAAATGATTTCCCAAAAAAATTAGTCACTAAATTATATTTTACTGCCACTAAAATAGACAGAGGGTGTAAATGTAACACACCTATTCCCATATGGACTTCCAATCCTAGAAAACCTCATTTATACCATTTTCATAGTCATCAAAATTGTTACAAATGTTTAGTTTAGGGAAATCATTTTCTAGGAACTTTTGTCCAATAATCCCCATCATGCTTCAAGTAATATGATTCCTCTTCAGACATTGATACATCTATGCATGCCTATATTTGAATAAATTTCTTTCTAAAATCGTAACCTAATATATCAATATATGAACTTTTTTTTTAATAATAGCATAACTCTATATATTCCCAAGCATAAAATCTTTATTTTCCAACTCAAAGAGCTTGTTGGATCATGTTCACATCAGTTTAAGGAATCTTGCAACTAACTTCCTTGCCCATTTATTCAACAAATTGGGGAAATCGAAAGAGAACGCCTTTGAAAAAGAACACTGCCTTCTTTTTTAAGCCATTCACAGTTCTTACAATTCAGCACATACACCCTGTGCTTTCTGGCTAAAGACTTTTGATAGATGTCTACATGGTTGGTTTTAACCATCATGGTTTTTACTAAGATCTCCAGACTACCATGTATATTTTCAGAAATCCTCATGTTTTTTGGTTCCCATATTGTCATAACCATATGATTGTTTTGTATCAAATCCAAACAATATAATCGACGTTGACCATTTTCTAAGTTCTTTGTTACACATGAAATTTCGGTAAAGAAATACACTCTCCACCTGATTCCTGTTTAAACTCCATCAATCAAATGTAGATTAGGGGGTTCCGTCAAATTATCTATCTAGCGCTTAGGCGTGATGGTCCATGGTCTGAGTTTTGGAGCTTTTAGCACTTGTATGAATGCTAGGGATATAGGCGGGGATTTGCTAGAGTTGCATGGTGGTCTGGGAGCTAGAGCAGAGCTGAGATTAGATTTTCTGGGCTTGGAGCGGCAAAATTGTCAGTTTGGTGGAATTAGGGTTAGGGCAAAATGGTGAGGTTCCTACTCAAAATGGACTGAAAATGGTATGCCAAGTACACTTAGTCGTCCATCCTCCAGCAATGCAATGTGGGTCGCTAGGGCTTCTGGGGTCTAGCGACACACACTGTGTCGCTGATGTCTGCAGTCCCCTACCACCTGTCTCCCACATCCAAGATGGCCATATGGTGACGGTTTTGATCAAATTTTGGGGGTTTCAAAGGGGTTCATGTGCCTTAATGACCCATTTTAAAATATTAAAACTATTTTATTCCCTCAATTTTCAAATGGGTCAGACTAGGGTTTTGGGTTGGTCAAGGCCGTTCAAAGGTGGATTACGGTCTAATCTGGGTTAGAGGCTCCTGAGCTAGGGTTTAGAACAGAAATTGAAGATGTTTAGGGAGGAGGCTAACCTAATTAGGCAGGTTTAATGGGGGGTTAGCCTAATTAAGTGGTTTGGCTCATGGAATGGACTGATTAGGAAAGGTTAGGGCCTCCTAAATGTAGTTTAAGGTTAGCTGAGGCAGTTTTAACCCTAATTAACTAGGGATAAATTAATTGTCGGGCCTAATGGGGTATATGTAGCATGGAAATATGGTGTACCACGTAGTATGGTCCTTAGTGTATAGTTTAAGCTAGAAAAGGGGCATTTGGATGGGGCAAAAATTGGGATTTTTGTCTGGAATGGGTCTGGGAAGACTCTAGGTCAGGGCCTTATGGTTTAGGGTTGCGGATGTCAAATAATACCTTAGCCAGTAGGTGTCTACAGTTGGTCATTGTATAATGAAAGTATTACTTTTCAAAAGCATATCCCATTTCAAGAGGATTAGACTAAATGAACGGATTCAAAACAATGGATGCAAAGATTGCATCTTCATTCACTAGAATTTGAAGATTCAAGACAGATATTACACATTGTATAACATGAATATTAGATAGTTTCCATTTGGGTGAATATTTTGGAGCAGCCTGTAATCCAAGATTTTTCATAAAACTGCAGATCACTCAAATAGTGCTAGAATGAGTTTCTGGTTTCATTGCTGAAGGTTGATTTAAGATAGTTCAATCATCTATCCAAAAATAAGATAAGACCAATTGTTAAATGCGTATTCTTTGGGTTGAATTATAAACATGGATCATATGTGTGTTTCCTCTTATCAATTCAAAAGTACAATAAAAGGGAAAGCTGTTTGTGACCCATCGAACATCCATCTTAAGATGGATGTTAAAAAAAGACAACCAAATAAACGGTCAAAAAATTTTCAAAAAAAAAGAAAATACTTTTTGAGTTTGAAAATTTTTATTTTAATTTTTTCATATTCAAGATCATCATGGTGTAGATCATGAATCTCTTAAAAATTTAGATCTAAAATCCATCTTTAAGATGGACTTTAGGAGGGGGGGTGTACATGCACATGTGAGTCAGGGGACCTGCAAAAACTGCATCCACAATAAAAAGAAACAAAATGGTATAATAATCAAAAGCAAAAAAGAGACAGCTGTCAATTCAAGCAGTTGAACTTTCAAAGTTCTTCTCTTTTCCAGCTAAATTGAATCTGGCATGAAGCAAACTTATAAACAATACACTTTACAACAGAATCTATGCCGACTGCACCCTGAAAAATCTGTTCCATCCTTTCACGCTTTCAATTAATCCATTGCCCTTGACTCTTGCATGACCCAAACTCCAGCAAAAGATAATGAAGTTTCATTTTCATTTGTCATGCGATATTCTACGATGTAAAATAAAAATAATAATACTTATCACATGATATTCACTTATTTGAATGTACATGTAAAGTAGGAGGCACAAAAAGTAATATCAACCTCTTTCCACTAATTTGTATGTACATGTAAAATACGAGGCACAAAACCTAATATCAACCTCAAAAGAGGTGGAAACAGAAAGGGGCTTGCTAATAGCATCCTCTCCAGAAAGAGGCTATGCTATTTCATTCAGTTCTCAGCTTTTTCTTTTTTTGGAAATTGGGATGTAGTGTTGCATCCATCAACATGCAAATGTAGAAGAAAGAAATATTCAACTTCTTGAAGAAAACACAGAGGTTTATACCAGTATGTTCAGGAAGCTAGATAAAAGAGTGTAATGAAGTTGCTAGCTATAGTTTGAGCCTCAACTGGAGAACCAAACAAAACAAATGCAATGATGCAGAAAGTGAGGAACCGCCGTCAATAAATAACACTTTAAAATTACTAGAGAAAACCCCAGAGAATGGGAAGAAGACAAACACAACATGACTATGGAATCTGAGTCAACAGAGTAACAAGGAGGATAAATTATCAGCAACATAAATATGATCAGAAGAATACCACTGAGCAATCAAAGTTTGCATAAATGTGCATTGAAGTGTATTGAACTCTAGGTTTAGTTCAACAATATTTTAGAGGGAGATGCAATTCGTCAATTAACACATGTGCAACATAGGCAAGTATTTCATTCAATAAGGATTCTTCAGATGATTACCACAGATGAAAAAAAGAAAAAAAATTCTTTCTAACACATTGATCTTTGTCACGAGGACCTTGCTATGAGGTCCCTATCTCTAAATCAAGCCAAGGAAAATTAATGAATAAGAGTAGACTCTCAGTTAAGAAAGTCCCAATACTAGACACATAATTTCTTTTAAGATTTTTAACATGAATACAAGAATTCGGCAGGTATACATTATGTAGTAGTGAGCATGAAATTCTAAAAATTCATTTATGATTTGTGGGGAGGAGTTCAACAACCCTCATTTAACCCCATGATTTAGAATAAGCTTGATGATACCAACACATTAGTCATAGTTGTCTCAACCTTTATTATGAATCAAGCTCTGCAACAATACAAAAATGCTCCTAGAGAGACATGTTTTCAAGATTTTCTAGAGAGAGTAATCGATAAAGAGGCCTCGCATGGTAAGGAACACAGATCTAGATAGAAACTTAGATAAAACTATAAAATTGAATGAGTTCTAGATCACCAAAACAACTGCTCTAGAAATCTGAAAGCGCGAAAAACATTGATTTCTTCCTTATTTAAAACCTAACTTTTTCAAATCACAACGTAGGAGTAGGACACAGAAAGACAGATCCAAATGAGAACTAATGAACCTTCTCGGTAAAATAGAAACAAGGAAAAGGGAAAGGAGGGAGCACCTTCTCGTTCATGGTCTGGCATTTAGACTGCACAAAGTTATCGGCATCAAAATGGTCAGTCTTGAAAACCTTGAGCTTCTCCTCCAACGCTCCACCAGTGTCCTGATCGTTGCTGCTATTGCTAACCCCTCTGCTCGATCTCGACGACCTAGCCGCTGCTGATGCCATTGATTCTGATCTCCCTCTCTATAAGCTTCTGCGTTTTTTAGAGACTGAAGCCCTTTCTCTGTCTAGAATTTCGTGTTCCGAAATAATGGCCCTCTCTCTCTCTCTATGTTTTTGTGCTTGAGAGGATGACCCTCTCTCTCTAGTCCTTCGGAGCCTCCCTCTCTAGGCCATTACTTCATCGAAGAAATGAAATCGGTGCCTCCCTCTGCAAATAGGAAGGAAAACAATCACCCGCCACCCCTCAGGAAATCTCTCCCCCTCTAACCTGCACGAGTTCGAATTTTCGGTCTCTATAGTCTAAACCACTTAGAATTTGCTCTCTCAACTGCTCTTAAGAGGCATTCTCTCTCTAGCGCATAAGAAACTATTTCGAAGAGCTTTCCGTATGCTTCCGTTCAACGGACGTCAGTCATCCCGAAAATTTCTTAAATACGAGGCTTATTTTATTTGGGAAACGTTTGTATAGTGCCTAGGCTCTAAACAATCAAATTAGAGCATATCGCAAAAATTTCATTAGAAGTGGTCGTTTGATGCTCAAATATTATCAAATTGATCATCTCCACATCAAGATGCATGGACAAAAGAAGTAATGGATTTCAAGTTTCAAAAATAGTGCATCTTGTAATGTATTTTTTGACCGTCAATTTTCAAGTTTTTATAGATATGTTTGATCTACATTATTTTTTAAGCTTTAAATTTTATAATTAAAAATGAAAGTATAATTTAAAGCTATTACAAAAAATTTTAATATTTAAACTATATTTCTCGATACTATTTGAATGTGGGCTCTAATTTGATTGTTTAAATCCTAGGCTTTATACAAACCACACCCATTTTATTTTGTTGACCATACGATGCAATTGGCAACGACGACGGGACCCAAATAAAAAGTCGGGTTTGGGCCACAAATGGCCCCAATGCCGGGCTAGGTCCAGTGATGGCCCGGCCCCATCAGGCCGGGGCCAAGAAATATACGTCGGGTTGGGTCCTAAAAAATGATATGGGACTCTGACCGATAAATATAGTGCGGGCCTCGAACCCGATCAGACTCAACCCAAAACTTAAAATATATGTGTATTTATTTCAATATATTTCATATATTAAGATCCAAAAAATAATATCGAACCCGGATCCAACTTGTTGGGTCCAATTTTTTACCCACACCTAGGCCCGAATCGGGTCTATCCCTTGAGTCACGGATCAGGTCCGCATCCATTGCCACCCCTACTAGGAAAGAGACGGCCCTATGGGACAAGGGCCTGCGCTGGGCTGGGCCAGACCGTTGCCACCCTTATTTACCGGTGCACGTTTTAGATGTATATTTTATAACAACTAAATTAGGGTTATCGAAATATTGATGGTTGTGGTTTGTTATGCTAACAGATTCCATGCCCTTTGGGAGAGCATACTTTCTATTTACTCCCTCTTGTAAAATATCTTAAATTTTGGAAATATTAACCTTTGGGCGTGATAGACTAATCTGTAGCTCGAAAAAAAATAATCTCAAAATTGAATAGACATCGTCTGATTTTTTAATGGTAATATCTAAATCTTAGAAAAACTTAAAATTCAAATTTTCCCTTTTAAAATTGATTATATACGGAATTTTTTAGGGGGATCCAAAAATTTCAAATTGAAATATCTCCCAAGCACGTCATGGCCAATAGAATAGATGCATAGTGCGCTCCCGCAGGAACACATACATATATTATTATTTATTAGACATATAAATAAAAAAATAAATTTATACGCATCTCCCCAAATTTTGTTAATTAAGATTTCACTTCTGAATATTTATTACTTTCATACTTTATTTTTATTTCGTGTTTTAACCAAATTATCCCACAAGATTAACTTTGATCATAATTTAGGGTGTGGTTTGCATGAGGTTGCAACTTTAAATAATCAAATTAAATATCGAAAAATCCTCGGATAATGTGAGAATCTATTTTTATATTTAATTATAAAATCTCAAACTCCAAAAACAATTCAAATCAAGTAAATCTATAAATATATGAAAATCTTGAAAATATGTTGTTCAAATAATGTATCGTAAGATGCATGATTTTTTAGACTCAAAATTTATTTTACATTTGAATGTTGAGATGTTCAATTAGAGGTTTCCAACTTCAAAATAGCCTTTTAGAATGGATTTTTAAAATATAACTTAATTTTACATTTAAAAGTTGCAACCTTATACAAACTTTTTCTTTAAATTTATGTATCAATGTTTGCAACAAGCTGTTCTTGTAGACTTAAAACCTTCGAGGGCGGACTTTGTTCTTCCAACAACAAAGATATGATGTTGAACATATCGCACGGCCTCCAAGGATAATAATTAGGAACTAATTATAATAAGATCACTTACTTTTAGTACAAAAATGTCACTATCGTAATAACCATTAAATTTGAAATTGAGTGGTTAAATATGTGTTATTCTTTGAGCACAAAGTCCAAAACAATTTATTGAATGTTGGGATGCACTCTATCTATTAAATGATTAAAAATGATTGTGACCTCTTTATAAATAAATAAATAAAAAATAGCCTCACAATATACAATCTCCCAACAATTAACTAGGTATGTACAAACTTGGGATCTTATATGTTTCGTTCGGGAGGGAAATAGTTTCACGTAAAAAAATCCCCTCGTGCGTTAGGTGTGATAATATTTTCACACCAATTAGCTACAAATTTTTGTGAAAAGCTACACTGAGACTAATTAACTAATTAATCGGTGTGAAAATATTCTCACACTAACCATATGAGGGAATTATTTAATGTGAAAATATTTCCCTAGCAATATTTTTACGCTAACAAACGTGCCCTAAAACCCTGAAGTTTGTTTTTGAATCTCAAAGTTAATTTCAAACCTTCAAGATCCAAATATTGTTTTGGGAACAAGCCAAGGCTTCACTCAATTGTACCGTTAACTTCAGATCTTGACCTAGACTTTAAAGATCCGAGTTTTTTGTTACGTTTTTTCTTTTATAGATAGTTCAATAGAGATGAGATCCCCTGGTTATGGTAGGAATGGAACTTGAGACATAATGTTGTAGCTAGGGCTACCACCGGGCCAACCCAAGAGAAAACATGAATATTCCATTATAACTTTATATGATCGGCCCAAAAATATATTTTTGAGGTAGGCCCCAACTCGAATATTTTGGTCAGATTCGGGCCTGCCCGGCCCATCCATCTTTTTAATTTTTCTTTAGAACTCGGTATTAGCTTATACGATTACAAAAAGTAAATAATAATAGAGATGGGTGTGGTTTATATAAGGTTGCAACATTAAACAATCAAATTAAGGCACACGTCGAAATTTTATCGTAATATATAATTTTTGTGTGTAAACAAATATTAGGATTATCTAAAAATATATTTTTATATCTAAGTATAAAGCTTTAAACACCAAAAAATGGTTAAAATCAAGTAAACATATAAAATTCTTAAAAATGGACGGTCTCCATAACAAGTTGCAATATGCACTATTTATGGGATTCAAAATCTTTTTTTCATAGTCATATATCTCGATGTCGAGGTGATCAATTAGAGGGTTTTTCAACATTAAACAACCTTTTCCGACAGATTTTTGACGTAATTCTACATTTTAAGGTTGTAACCTTATATAAACTTTTTTTAATAGAGGGTTGTATACTATAAAACTATCTATCGTTATTACAAGGAGGTTACAATTACTCATAACCATTAGATATCACATTGATGGGTTGTGTTGTATCATAGTCATTCGAGTCTAGTCAATGACACTCTTATAACCATCTGATTTGAAATCTGACAGACAAGAATAACTGTGACCTTCATGTACTAAAAGTAAATAATCTCTTTAGATACAAAAACAACAACAACAATAATAAATAAATAATAAGATAAACGTCTAAATGACAAGTGAGTTCTACGTGTAAGAAAACTCAAACTTTAAAATTTTCCTTTTGAAAAGAATCATATGATGACTTATAGGTGATTCTCCATCATTTCAGATTAAAAAAAAAGATTGTATACAATGAAACCATTTACCTTTGCTACATTAAGCTCACAATTACTTGTGAAAATTGATAACTTGGATGTGTCACAAAGTTCGAAAAAAAAAAATTTAACTTTGAGCTTGGTAATACAATAAATATAGCCACCCAATTTTACATCCAATGGTTAAGATTAATTGTCACCACTACCAAAGACAGTCTCATTGTATACTTTTGCTTAAAAAAATCTTCCCAAATTAATATTCTCTCGAGGGTGAAATGCACAATATACGCTGTCGCGAGAGCACAGTAATAGCGTTCATTGTTCATTGACCTCTCTACTGTTCAAACTTCAAAGCCTATTCCATGACAGAGAGTAACCACCGAGCGGCACATTCCACTTTTGACTTCGGCAGTCGTAGGGAACAGAGAGAGAGGGCGCCTTTGCAAGGGAAGGAAGAGAGAGAAGAGCCATTGTAGGGGAAGAGAGAGAATGACAGGAATCAAGAGAATCAACTTGGGTTCGTAGGGGCTGGAGGTCTCTGTGCAGGGGCTCGAATGCATCGGCATGTCCTTCTTCTATGGCGCACCAATACCAAACTTCGAGTCGGACATGATTAAGCTCATCCACCATGCCATCGACTCCAACGTCACCTTTCTCGACACCTCTGATATCTATGGCCCCTTTACCAATGAACTCCTTCTCGGAAAGGTCTCTTCAACCACCACCACCACCATGTATTTCGATAATGGAGAACCGATAATTGAGAATTGAGTAGCTCTGGTAATTGGGTTTTGCAGGTCTTGAAGGGAAGAAAAGAGAATGTGCAGTTGGCTACCAAGTTTGGTCGCAGAATTTGTGGATGGGAAGAATGATATTTGCAGGGACCCTGCGTATGTGAGGGCAGCGTGTGAAGGGAGCTTGACGAGGTTGGATGTCGACTGCATCGATCTCTATTACCAGCATCGAGTTGATACCAGGATCCCCATTGAAATCATAGTATGCCTTAGTTTTGAAATAAAACATTGATAATTAAGACTGGCAGAGGTTCCTTGTATTCATGCTCAATTTGTTGTTCTGTTAGAGAGTTCATTATGCCTATCATTGTTGGTTAAACCAAGTCCTACTCGGACTTGCCGTGTTAATCGGATTTGGTAGCACGCATATTCTGGAAAAAGAAAAAAAAAATTGAATCACCCAAGTTGATCAGACTTGACAGTCTGTCGAGTCTCGAAATGCCGCCCGTAACATTCTATTGTTATTATTTTAGACTGAGATGAGTCTGTGACCGACGGTGGGGTTGTTGGATGATCATCACATGATCACAAAGAGAAATTGTTGAAATTTTTTATGTGTCCTTGGAGGTTTTATTCGGTTTTTTGTGCTTCACCAGTA